ATACCGAGGAATGAGATGTTATAGTATATCTTGCCTTTCTGAAAAGAATCCAAATTTTTAAATATCAATGAACTAAACTAAAATCTTATACATAATTCACCAGTTCCACGTCACAATTAAAAAAAAAAAAAAACAACCTCAATTCCATGGTTTCTTATTGTGATTTAAAACAACAGTCAAAACTACAACCACTGTTACTTTTCAAATGATAGTCACTGATGGGAGACTGAAATCCAAAAACTGAATTCTCCATATGAAAAACATTTTCATATTAAAAACATTTTCTGGGGCTGGGGTTGTGGCTCAGTAGTAGAGCACTTGGCTAGTATATGTGAGGCACTGTTTCGATCCTATGAAATATATAATAATTTTTTTTAAAAATTCACTTTTAAAAAATGTTTTCTTTTGCCACTAACTTATTGTTAAAATATGCATAAAGGTAATCTTTATATCTGATATGCATTGCCCCGATTTTCCAGTACAGGAAGCACAAATTTGTGAAGAATACACTATCTCCATGGTTTTGTCTTTCCAGAACTTGCTGTGTAGAGTGTAGGGAAATAACAATGCAAGCTTTTCTTCTATACAAAATAATACCAGAATCCAATACAAGAAATGTGATAGAAAAGATGGATTGGAGAGGGAGCAAGAAGAAAATCCAAATTATTAGATATCTGCCCAGCAGGTGCCTGTAAGTCCTGAACATGCTATAGCCTCTTTCAGAGGCAAGTGGCCTGAGAGGTCTATGACTCCCCTGATTTTTGATGCAGCGTTGGTGTTCCATGGAATGTGGAATGCCCTAAGAATATCTATAGAAAAAAAAATTAACATACCTTCCACTACTTCTTGGACAGCAGTTTCATGACCACCAGATTCCCATTTTAGGCTCTATTATGAGCAAAAACCCCATTGATAAAAATGTCTTGATCACTGTCCTAGGTTGGAGAGAGATATAAAGGCACAGTCTGCTCACCAGGGCTTGGCACCAAAAGCACTTCCTTGGTTGAAGAATGGTAGATTCCATAACCTTTCCACTGACTTAACAAAAACACCAGTCCACAGCCACATACACATACTTAAAGGGAATTCAGTGTCTTTCATTCTTCCAGACACTTATGCTAATTGTGCCTTTTCAGAGGATAAGAAGTCAAATGCAATTTTTTCTTATAGAAGGTGAAAGAAAGCACATGGGTCTAGAAATTCACCACACCAATTTTTTTTTATGAGATGTTCAAAACATAAGATTCCACACTAGAAGGACAAAAGGTGATTATAATGAAATTCTGTAATTAGCTAAAGTTGATGTTTCAAAATCATCCAAAATTGGAGTATTTTAGTTGCTCTGCATTTTTATAATTTCCAATTACAAAACCATCAGATATCTCTTCAAACAGATTTTCTGTTGCATTTTCAATTTAGCTAGGGGTTGGCAGCTGTGGCCTGTGATCTGCCAAACCTGACCTCACCCTACTCCCTGAGCAAAAGCTACCATGTTAGTGACAAATAATTATTGTAACTGACCTCATGCTGAGCTTTGCCAGAAATAAAGAGACACTAGTAAATAGAGTGAACAACTCAAATGAAACCTATCACCAACCTGTTTCCTTTTGCACTTTACAGAGTGACATGATCTGGTGGTCCTCCCTGAGTGAAGAAAGCTCTTTGGAAATCACCCTAATCTATTCTCATGTGTCAAAACATATGCAATGAAATGCCTCTTTCATCAGCAGCTTATAAGTACCCCTTGGCAGCTCAGAGATTTAAATACGAGAATGATGGTAGTCTCAACTTCTTATCCCAAGAAACCAAGGAAAGAGGAGCTGAGTTGAACGCCAGACAACACACAAACCTCCAGCTATTCCACACTACTTGATTCTTCCTTAATTCATTCATAAGCTTGTATCTATTGCCAAATCTCTTATTATAAAAATACTAAATGTGGAATATGTTCAATATTAAAGTTTGAATAATCTCTCTTAATAAGCTCTTAAGGTCAAAAATTTCAGCTTTTTTATTTTGATGCCAGAAGACTTGTCCTATCCCTCAGAAAGAATTAAAAAAAGAAAAATAGATGAGCATCCGCAGAGGAAATAGAAATGGATCTGGAGTAATCTAAATACTAAGGAAATACGGTGGACAATCTAAGTATGCCATGATGGCTAGAGCATCCTCCATTGATGGAAGAGCTGTGGACCAGAAAAAAATTCCACAGCTGTACAAAGGGTGCGTCCCACAATAGACACAGAAAAAAATTCAGAATTTCTTGGATGAATTTAATTTAGAATAGACACTGTGTTTTAATTTTTTAAAATTTCATTCTGTTTCATTTTCCCCCTTTATCTTATCTGCAAATAGAATAAAAACACATCTCAGTAGTATCATGTTTTGTTTCAAAGTCACCTGACTTTATTTACACTTTTACTGAGTACCCCAAGAGACTATCAGGGAAACATAAGTGACTCATCCCATGTATTTTGGATTTGCCAAAAAAAAAATGAAAACTGATTTTCTCTAGCAATGGAAATTGCAATAAGCCTAAGTTAAGCTCCCTCAAAACAAAAAGTATATGATAATTGAAAATCAATTCACTGTTCTTAAACTACTATGTAGATACTTTGGCACAGAAAAACTATCTATTTAACATTGGATAATTTCATAGCCATCTGGAGTAAGAATAAACCTAAATAATTTAATAAAATCTCTTTTTATTTCTTTCCTAAATACCTTGACATTTTAAGTTGAAATAAATAGATATATTTAATTCACCTCTTCATTTTACAAATAAGAAATGTGGTCCCCTCGATTAATCAAGCCCAAGCCCACTGGTGATAGCCCCTGTATTTGGTGGTGGCTAAAGGGCAGGTATTTCTAAGGGGTATAGGTAGAGCTTAGACACATGAGATAAGATACTCATATATGTGCCTGCAAGAACCTTCAATGACTATAAGGGAGCAATGAGGACACAGGAAGCCAGGCTTGGGAAGGGAAGAGGGGCAGGAGAGGTGAACCTCCTTTGCATTTCAGCATGGAAGTTCAAGACATCTGAAAATACTACATTTGAACAAAACACAGGTCCACTGAGGTAAATCTGGCAAGAAATGCACTTTGTCATGGAATATATTTTACTGAACCCTTTGTTATTTTTATTTATAAACTTCCAATATTTGATACAAGGTATACCTGCCTCCTTTTATACTTTTGTTCTATACCCCACATCTGCTAGGTAGTAACCTAATGAACTTAACTTAAGGAAATTCAAGACAGTGTGCTCAGGCAGAAGAGAAAACTGCTACAGTTCCCCTTATCACTCCTACCAATGAGCACAAAATTCAGCGTGCAAAGATGAGGTTTGAAATCTGCTCAGTTCGCAGGTGCCTCTTGGGATAAACTCCTTACTGCATTGAATGTGATTCTCATGGTTCAAAATCCATGTTTTCACACATGAGGTCTCCTAATGTAACTAAGTTCCTCCAACAAGTGCACCAATGAAAAAAACTGTTCTTTATAATGAGAAGACAATACAAGTTATGCAGAACTTATTGAGAGTTGGCTTATCCATCTTCAGCATGGCACTTTCCTAGGAAATGCTTGTGGGCAATTTTTATGATTCCTGTTTATGATCTTTATCTTATGATCAAACTCAAGAATGTAATACCCAGGCCCAGATACCTTGCACATTCCCTTATTGGAAAACATTAGAATGAACAACCAGCCCTGCAGCTGATTTATAAAACAAAAAGGGAAAATATACACATACACATACACATACACACACACACACACACACCCTGCACAAAGGACAGAAACAGATCCCAGTGTCCAGGCTGCTCTAGAAACCTGTCTGCCTCCACATAGGAAAGAGCTCCCTAGATGTGCTCAATGCTGCCACTACATGCTTCAGCCCCTAAAACACACATGCACACCCATGCACACACAAGGAGCAGGTTGGCCCATAAGGTCTACAGCCACGCATAATCTTGGGCCAACAACTCAAAAGATCCACATATGCCTGCAATATGGTGCCAGACTGAGTGATGTTGGGCTGACAAGGGAAGGATTATTGACACACGCCACACAAACACACACACTATCATAGCCTTATTCATTCACACATACTTACGCATCACACAATTACAGAGTCACAAAAACAGTTCACACACAAACACATACACCAGATACAGAGGCACATGCATTCTAATATATACATTCTCCAGACACATGTCTTCACATACACATAGTCATATGTGTGCACTTGCTCACAGTCCAGAGGTGGGAATTTTACCTTTAGCCCCCACAACTATAAACACTCCCTACAGATACAGGTACTTAGGTTGGCTATGAATCCAGAGGCCAGACTAAGCTCCAGGTGGGCCTAAGGGAGAGTGAAAAGGCAGAGGAGCAGCAGATGTCCCTCTGTCATCCTCCTCTGTGGGTAGTTAGGGATGAGGAAACCCTGCCTACCAAGGGAGCAGTCCACAAACTCTGACCTGGGACCCTCAGGGAGAATGACCTCCTGGCTCCTGGAGGTCGCTTGAAGGACTGAGAATGTGGAGGTGCCAGAAGGAGTCTTTATATCCCCAAACTGAATCTCTCCCCTTAGCTGAAGGCTAGGACCCTTCTGACAACTCCTTTCAACATCACGCCAAAACAGTACTGCCAGTCCCCAGGAGCTTATCTCTCTTTAAGATCCCTTCACTGAGACCCACACCTATTCCTTCACAAAATGGAGTCCCACCCAGAGCGCCCCCCCCACCTGTTTGATCTTCAGGCTGCATCTGCCCTTTCACACAGCTTCAAGACACCAGAGGCATCCCCTTGCCTCTAGCCCAACAACCCCAAACTCACAAGCTACACCCCCAACCCTGTGGAGGTAGATGCCCACAATGATTGAGCCCATCTCTAACGTGGCAGCTCCAGCCTCCCAGGACCACCTCTAGTGAAGCCACTGCCTCCCCACCCCAGGGGGGCCTAAACCCTACCGAGTAGGTCCCAGCACCTACCTCCTTTTTCAAGGTGTTCTGCAGGCGGCGACTACATGCACTTTCACTCTCTTGTTCTGGCACCTGTGGCTCCTGTGCTCTTGGAGCATCCTTGGCTCCAGCGGTTCCTGATCTCTGGGGGCTGAGGCGACGCTCTGTGCTCCTACACTCCCACTCCCAAAGAGGCTACCAGGGATCCTGTGCTCCAGCAGCTGAGGTGGCGGTGGCGGCTCCGTGCTCTTGTGGCTGCACTGGCTCCAAAGGTTCCTGTGCTCTGGCAGCGACAGCATTGGTTGCCATTGGCAGCCGCTGTGTTAGCTGCAACATTTGCGGCCTTGGAGTTTGCGGTGGCATTGCCTCTGCCGGCGGTTCCTGTGGCGTGGGCGTTGGCTCTGGTGGCTCCCGTGTTGTTGGCGTTGGCATCCGCGGCGTCTTCTGCAGCGGCTCCATTGGCTCCTGTTGCGTTGGCATTGGTGGCGGCGAAACTACAGCCGCTGTAGCTCAAGCGGAGGAGACAGCGGCGGTGGCAGAGGCAGCATTGGCTGTGGCTTCAAAGTTGGCGTTGGCAGCTCCAGTGACAGCTAAAGCAGTGGCTCTTAGGACTGCTCCTGCTGCATTGGTGGAGGCGGCACCCCTGTGGCTATTCCTGTGCTTCTGACCCAAGAAGGCTTCTGTGGTAGTGGTGGCTTGGAAATGGAAGCACACTATTAGTTAGCTCAGCTGTTCCGCCTTTACTTCCATTTTCGTTTCAGGAGGCGTGGTGGCACTCAGTTCATAATTTTGGGCCAATAGTGTTGCTCCTTTTTCCAAACACTTATTAGCATAACCGTGAACCAATGGCATTGACCCACACACTGGCTGCAAGCTGCCCTGTTGTCTTCCAGGCAGGTCTTTGGCTGAGTGGGCAGAACCTGCTATCAAGAGCTGCTTGGCTGCAGAGGTTTGTCACTTAGGAAGAAAACACTCGCCAGTACAAGCGGAAAAACTCTACTTTCACTACAGGGACGTTTTAGCAAGGTATGTGTACTTATTCGTATATATTAATACAGATGAGATTACATTCTCTCTCTCTCTCTCTCTCTCTCTCTCTCTCTCTCTCTATATATATATATATATATATATATATATATATATATATTTATTTATATATAATTTCACACATTGCTTATTCATAAGTAATTGATTTACAGATTAGACACAGGCGATACATGATGGCACATACTTGTAATACCAGTTATTAGGATACTGAGGAGGGAGGGTTGACAGTTCAAGTTTCCTTTTCATTTTAAATGATTAATAGAAAATCTATTTCCAGGATTTAATCTGTTTTACATAAATTGTCAAATTTGGGGATCAAGAGTTACAAAGTATTATATCTTTTTACTCTTAATATATATGGAGTTATTCAAGGTGCCTCTTCTTTAATTCCTGATAATTGACAATTTTTGCCCCAATCTTCAAACAGTTTGGTTAGGAATTTATCTATTATATGTTTTCTTTTAATATTCAGGTTTGTATTAAATTTTCTGTATTCATTTTCTTTTACCTACTTTATGGATTCCGAGTTTCATATTTGTTATATTGTGCCATAGATTGAATTTTTTTCTTTTTTTTTATCGATGTGACTGCGGAGGTTAATTTTTTTTGAACTATTTTCTTTCTAAAAGAAACATTTAATGCTACACATGTTCCCTGTCAAAACTATATAAAAGCACTCCATAGATTTTACTTACATCTTCAATCTAGTGTAAGTTTTTAAAAATTTTATTTATATCTTTTATTCATGGATTATTTAGATTTATGCTCTTTGATTGCCAAATATTAGGGATGTTATACATTTTCTGTCAGTTTCTTGTGTGTGTGTGTGTGTGTGTGTGTGTACCTGTTGCCCAGGAATGGACTCAAGTATGCAATGTATGCAGTGTGACTGCTGTACCATTGAGCTATTTACCCCAGTCCCATTATTATTGAACACATACATATATTATATGATATCAACAATACATTTTGATACATTTTGATGTTTGTTTTATCCGTGGTTTAGTTTAATATTCTTTGTGCATTTGAGAAGTGACCTTTTTGTTGGTGATGGGATTTTGTTCTGTAAATGTAAAATAGTTCAAGTTCTCTGATGATTTCATAAAGATCATAATCTATGAATTGTTGAATTTCTGTGTAAATTTTCTGTTAATTGTTGAACAAGTGCTGTTGAAATCTCCAATTCTGTCGTTGGGCTTAAGTATATTGCTTATAAGTCTATGATTTTATGTGTTCAAATACTTTAAAAATTGGGGGGAGAACATACAAATATAAGATTGTTAAGATTTATGGAATGGTTCTCTTCATCAGGTAATGTGCCTTCTATCTTATATAGTAGTTTTTATTTTGAGGTTCATTTTCTCTTACATTACCAGACTTACTTGAGCTTTCTTTTGGTTAGTGATTTCATAATGCAGATTTTCTTCCATTGCTCATAAGATAATAAATGATTTTAATTAAATGCCTACCAATACAGAAATAATCTTATTGTAGTGTTAAAGTGCCTGACTTTACGTTTGGCATATGAACAGCATATCCAGTCCAATACTCTTTATATAGTCTCATTTTATGCCAATACCTTGACTTTTATCAGCAAATTTATAGAGCCCAAAGAGAAGGTATTGACCACTCCATTCATTAGATATAAAAATATTACCTCAATAAGAGACTACCTCAATTTTATATTTGAGAGTTTTTTGACTAAATCATTATTATTTAAATGAGGTCAATGAAAATCATTGAGTTAATCATAGAAATCTTTATTTGCCTCATAAAGAAAAACTCTAAAGAAATACATTATTTAAAACTAAATGTCTGAGTGAAATTCATGAATAATGGTTTCAATATAGAATTCATCTCCTAATGTAACATATCACTTTCCCCCAACTTCCGAATCAATAGGACATTGTGTCACTTAAATACAGTACTTAATTTGTGGTTAGTGCTAATGTTGTGTTGCAGTAAAACTCACAGGGAATATTTTCTGCATTTTCCCTACTCCTAGGTCTTTTCCAAACAATTTCATATGCAAAGGATGACAAAAAAATGCTAGCATGTTTCCTAAAACTCCATTCTTCAGGCAGAATGGAAAGATAAGTTACTCTGACCATTTTTTTTCTCTTCCTGTCTATCATGAATTGAGTCTGTGTGAAAATAAATCAGAGTGTATGAAATTAACTTGTGCTATTTAATTCTGTCTCCTTCAGGAAATGAAATGAGTTATTAAACCAGAAGCAAACTTATCTTATTCCTCTTATTTCTTCCCTTTTAGGAAAACCTTCCTGCAATTCTATTTTTGTATGGATGGGATCTATCACTGAATTTAATCTTTACTATGAGATTAGCATCAAAACTGCTTGAGTGTATTTGACTCATGTTCAATCAGTAACATTTGCAATACACTATTATTTGTGGAAGACTACACAAGTTGTAGGTATTTACTGCTGTTGTTTTGGATACACTTAATTACATGAATATCTTCTAATTGTTTTTGCAATGCCCTACCAAATATTTAAGTGTTTTTAAGCCATTTTTTTTTCTGAGTGGAGAATCATTTCACCAAATTCAGAATAACAACTGCAAGGTGGTAGAACAAAGAATTGAGAAATGATATAATAGTACTAAAAGAGAGCTTTGAAATCAGTGTAATTCCTTTTTTTTTTACAAAAGTAAAAGATAAGGCTCAAATGAAATGATCAAAGAACTTTTAAAAAATTTAAAGATTTTCTGTGTGATCTTCTTTGGATACAAAATCCTGAATTGTGCTAATCTCTACCCTCTTTAGGTTCTTTCTTTTTCTAGACATACTTTTCATTGGTTTCTACCTTCATTCTTCATTACACCAAACATTTAGGAGTATCTGTTCTATATCATATACTGTTCTAGTCTTTTTGAATACAGAAGTGGGGGGAAATTAAGTTCTCTTTGTCATCTGGGGTTTATATTTTGGTAAGGAAAATGTACCATAACACAATGAATAAATGAGTTGCATAAAAGAGGCAAATGAACCATGGAGTTAACAAAGAAGCCCAATTTCCAGGAAAATCTCCTGACAGCAGTTTCTAAGGCATTGATTCATTTCATTTAGTTATCATGTAGTAGAAAAAAAACCTACCACTTCAAATTATTCCCCCTGAATAATTAGAAATTTGTGTCCTTTGACCAACAACTAACTAATCCTCCCACTTGGAATCCCCAGGCCATGGGAACACCATTCCATTGTCTTCTTCTGAATTCAGTATTTTAGATATCATATGTAAAAACAATTGTGAATATGTCTTTCTGTAAATGCCTTTCTTCACATAAGAAATGGCTTCCCGATCCATCCATGTCATCACAAATGACAAGACTTGTATAAAAACAACAACAACAAAAAAGTCAAATAGAAATCTATTTTGTAATTCATTCTTCAATTGGTAGATAATTTGGTTTCATCCAAGTTTTGAGTATTTTTGAATTATGCTGCACTGAGCATGGAAATACATATTATCTTTTCACAATACATGCTCTAGGTCAGTAGGTAGATAAATTGATTGATTCATTCCATGGAGTATTGCTGGATCATATATGATCATATGGCTTCTTTATTTTTAATTTTACAAGAAGTCTCCACAGTGTTTTTCATATGGTGTACTTATATTCCTATTGATAGCATATAAGAGTTCACTTTTTTCATTTTCTCTCTGAAAATTGTTATCTTTTATCTTTTTTAATAACAGCCTTTTTAATGGTGTAAGGAGATATCTTGTAGTTTTGATTTCCACTTCTTTTATGATTAGGGATATTGATTTTTTTCAGAAAAAATCTTATCATTTTTATGTTTTCTTTGGAGAAGCATCTGTTCAAATTCTTTGCCATATTTTAAATAATTTGTTTACATGAAATCAAATTATTAGATTTTCTTATACACTTTATATATTAGAATCTTATCAGATGTATATTCTTCAAATAGTCTCTTCTATCCTATAGGGTTTCTCTTTAATCTTGTCAGTGGTTTTATTTCCAGAGCAGAAGCTTTTTTGTTTGATGTAATCTCATTTGTCTACTTTTACGTTTGTTTCTGTGTACATATCTTAGTGATTTCAGTGTCCTGAAGTGCTTCCCCTACGTTTTCTTCTACTATTTTTATAGTTCTAGGGCTTGTCAGAAAGTTATTGACAAAACCAACATAATGAAAATTTTCTACTATGTTTCCTTTTAGTAGTTTCATATATTTTATTTAAAATGCTAAAAAATCGTGAAATCTTTTGATATACTGTGATAGACAGGCCTAAATTCATTCTTCTCCATGTGGCTATCTAATTGTCCTAACATCATTTATTGAAGAGACTGTTCTTTTGCCATTGTGTTTTTGATACTTTTACTGAAAATCAATGACAAGAAATAACTGGATGTATTTCTGGGTTTTCTGTTCCATTTGTGTTTGTATATTTTTTATGCCAGTACCATGATGTTCTGGTTACTATATCACTGCAGTTCATTTTTGAAGTCAGGTAGTATGATGCCTAAAGCTTTGTTATTTTTGTTCAAGACTGTTTTGGGCTACTTGTGATCTTTTCTTGTTTCATATACATTTTAAGATTAAATTTTCTGTTTTTCTAAAACTTGTCATTTGACTTTTGGCAGAAATTGCATTGATTCTTTAGAGCACTTTGGGAAGTATAGATCTTTAAGTATTACCAGTTCTTCTAATTCATGACCACAGGATGTTTTTCCTTCTTTTATCTGCTTATAATTACTTTCTCTAACATATTTTATACTTTTCAGTGCACAGGCATTTCACCACCTTGGTTAATTTTTTTTAATATTTATTTTTTAGTTGTAGTTGGACACAATACTTTTATTTTATTCATTTACTTTTTATGTGGTGCTGAGGATCGAACCCAGGACCTCACATGGGCTAGGTGAGTGCTCTATCACTGATCCACAACCCCAGCCCCCATCTTGGTTAATTTTATTGCTAATTACAATTAAGATTTTTTGGTGTTATTATAAGTGGGGCTGTTTTCTTGATTTTTTTTCTGATATTTTTTAGGGTATAGAAATGCTAGTGATTTTCTATATCCTACAACTTTACTAAGTTCATTTGATATTACCATCAGTTTTGTTGGTAAAATGTTGTATTTTATCTATACAAGATTATATTGTCTGCCAAGGTACTGTTTGCCTTCTTCCTTCCTTTTTATGTGGGTCTCCTTTATTTTTTTCTCTTGGATAGTTACTTGATTCAGATTTCTTGTAATTGAATACAGTGGTGAGAGTGGGTATATTTTATGTTTTCCTATTTAGAAAAAAATCCACCCCCCACTTAGAATTTGATGTTTGCTATGGATTTGTCATATACGGCTTTTATTGTGTGGAGATACTTTTCTTTTACACTTACTGTATCAAGTTTTCTAAACAAATGATGTTGAATTTTGTTTAATGCTTTTTCTGTATTTATGGACATGTGATTGTACAACTTTGTCATTCATTCTGTTAGTGTGATATATCACATCTGTTGATATACATATGTTGACCCATTCTTGTATCCCTGGGGAAAATCGCACTTGATCACGGAGAATGATTCCATTAATATGTTAAATTTGGTTTGCTAATATCTTGTTAAAAATTTAATCTATGTGGGAGGAATATTAAACTTTAATTGTTATATGTATTGTTTAGTTGTAGATGGACACAATATCTTTCATTTTTTATATAGTGCTGAGGATTGAACCCAGTGTCTCACATGTACCAGGTGAGCACCCTACAACTGAACCACAACCCCAGAACCTGAACTTTAATTTTTATTTCTTTTTTTGTCATAGTCTTTAGCATTATTGTAATAATGGCTTCATCAAATGTGTTTTGAAAGATTTCCTTTTCTTCAGTTATTTAAATGAGTTTGCAATCATTAGAATTATTTCTTCCTAGAGTGTTTAGTAGAGGTGAGCAATGGCTCTAATACCTTGGGCTTTCTTTGGAAGAATATTTATGACTGAATCAACTTCCTTACCAAGACTCTTGCTTTTATAACACTAGTTTCAATATCATTTACACAGAAAAGATACTCAGTATAAAATCCATTTTCTTAAATTGATTAGTGCTGTTTTGTGTTCTAACATATAATCTATAGTTCAGAATGTACTAGGGGCACTTGAAATGAATGCATATTCCACTGCTGTTAAATTAACTGTTCTATTCTAATGTGCACTTTATGTCCAACAGTTTCATATATGTTTCTCTCTGAGTGATCTGTCCTTCATAGAAAGTGGTAGATCAAAGTCCTGTACTGTTACCGCATTGCAGCGTATCATCTTTCAAAACTATTAATATCTGTTTTAAATGTTTAGATGCAGTAATGTTGGGTGCCTATGTATTTACAAGTGTTATATCCTTTCAATGAATTAACCCATTTATAATTATATAATGAGATTTTTGTCTTATTTTACAATTGTTTTAAATTTAAGTTTTATTTTACCTGATATAAGTACAAGATACTCCTTCTCTCTCTTGATTTCCATTGGCAGGCAACATTTTATTATATCCCTTCCTTTACAGGTTTTTGTGTCTTTACATGTAAAACAAGTCTCTTGTATGCAGCATAAAATTTTTTATTTTAACTCCTCATTCAGGTATACTGTGTCTTTGATTTTAGAGAACTATATTTACCTTTAAGTTAATTAAGTTATATTTAGTACTCCCATTTTTGTTCACTGGTTGCTTTATATATCCTTTGCTTCTTTCATCCTGTCTTCCTTTGTAAATAAGTGAATTTTCTCTGATGGTATGCTTTCATTCCTTTTTTCTTTACCTTTTTGTAACTATTATGTTTACCATGTGGTAACTTTACTTTGTGGTTACCATGATAATACATAACACCTTTTTTTTCAAGGCCAAATACTGAACTCAGGGCCTTGTGAATGCTAGGCAAGTGCTCTTCCCCTGAGCTAAATCCCCAACCCCTGCATAACACATCTTAAACAGCTATTTCTAAGCTCATTACAAATTATCTTTGATCACATGTATAACTCTTTAATTTGATTCCAGTACCACCTCTCAGAGATTAAATTGTCAGTGGCACAATGTACATAGTTTATTGAATCTGTGACCAAATTCTTGGGGCTATTGCTATTTTTAAGGATTTTATTTTCTATCATTCATGCTAAAAGTATAGGTAATTTGCAGAGCATTATTACAGTGCTAGAATATTCTGAATTTGACCATATCCTTCTTTTACTGATGAATTTTTACCTTTATATGTTTTTGTTTTACTCATTAATGTTCTTTTCTTTTTCCTGAACAACTCTCTTCAGAATTTTATGAAATAGATTTGACAGTTATGAACTTCCTCTGTTTCACTGTCTCAGACAGTATATATTTTTCTATTTCTGAAGAACATCTTTATATGGCCCTCTATTCTTCATTGGGACATTTTTCACTTCAGCTCTTTCAGTTCATCTTCTTATTCTCTCCTGGCCTGTGAGGTCTCTGCTGAGAAGTCTTATTGATAATCCCTTGTGTGTTATTTGCTTTTTTCTCTTCATTTCAGCATTCTCCCTTTGTGCTTGACTTTTTACACTTTCCTTAAGATATCTTGGTGTCTTATTTGAATTAAATGTGATTTGCAACTTTGACCATCCTATACCTGGCTATTTTATCCATATTCAGAAAATTACTCTTACACTATTTTTTTAAATAAGCATTCTATGTTTTCTTTCTTCTCTGCTTCACAAACTTCTCTAACTTAAATATTCACTTTTAATTCTTTCCAATGGGTTCTATAAGCTTTATTCTTTTCTATTTATCCATATTTCTTTATCTCTCTATAGATTTTTAAATAACATACATTTGAGTTCCCAAATTCTTTTTACTTTATCAATTCTCCTATTGATTTTTCTATTGTATTTTTCATTGAATTCATTATATTCATTTCCAAACTTCATTTTATTTGGTTTTTTAAAAATTGGAATTTTTTTGTTAAAGTTCCATTTTAATCATTTATCATTGTTATTGTTTTCCAGTAATTTCCAGAAATTCACTGAATTTCTTTAAAATGATTATTTTTAATTCTTTGTTAGGTTGCATATCTCTATTTCTTTTGAGTAAACTACATTGAGACTTTTGTGTTTTTAGTGATATACTGCTTAAATTTTTCATGTTTCTTATTCCGTTAATAGAATTTCTGTGCATTTTAAGGAGAAACCCATTTCAATCTTCTCAGACTTACATTGTCTGAAAAAGATATGTACACGTGCAGAAGATCTGTCAGGATTTTATCTTGTGTCGTGGTAGTTGGTTGAGATGCCTTGTTGCTGGAGTCCTTCAACAGTGTTGCCTGGTCATTTAGTTAGCAAACAGCAAGCCTAGAATGTAGGTCCAGGGGGTGAACTTGTTGACAGGATCTCCATAGGTTCTGAAGTCCAGGTCCATGAGGATGGACTCAGAGCCTAGGTTAATAGAAGTTGGTCCAGAAATTCATGTTTCAGTCTGAAGCCTGGATCCATAGAAGTTGACTTAGACCTGAGTTTGCCCAGAGCCTTATACCACTATGACAAGACTTGAGCCAGAATTATGGGAGTGTACCAGGAAGCCTGGATCTATAGATGTGTTGTATGGCCTCAGTCTATGTAGTTCAGCCTGACATTGAGGACAGCTAGGTGAGTCTAGACCTTGGGTATGCTGAAGCACAAAGTACGCTGAAGCACAGTTCCCTGGTGCCATGGGAACTACCCAGACAGGAGCCATGGGTTTGATCAGTGCTGGATATATTTGGATCCTGTGTGTACAAGGACTGACATGGAGGACAGAGAGGAAAAATTACTTATGTTTCTTTCAAGGACAAAAATGTTTCTTTGTTTGAGAAATGACTATATGTAGGTATATACTCTCTTTATCCTAATAATCCTGTTATCAACATTGTACCATATACCTTTATTTAAACAGAATGCACAGGAAGTTGCTTTGTTTATCAGAAAATACACAGAAGAAATAAAGTTTTCTTCTGTTGAAGTCTAAATCTCTTGTGAGCAACTTTATTGTGGCATTTCTTTGTTTGGATGAATCACTGAAAGCACAAAAACATATGCCTGAATAGTAGAGGTTTTCCACTGCATTTTGTTGCTGTGATAAAAATGGGTGCACAGAATTGAGTGAATTTATAGGCCAGTTCAATGTGCTGACCTGTCATTTGCTGGAAAAGTTTTCTGCAGTACCTTCACTTTGGGTATTGTACTGCCCTCTCCTAACTGATAATTTATCAGTAATGGGTGTTTCGAAAAACAAAATCGTTGAGACTCTGAGCGATACTATCATTTCTACTTTCCACTAGAAGATAATTTCAAATTTTATTATATGAAATGTGAAGTTGATATATGGTGATTAATTCAGATGCAGATAGATGTAAGATTGCTGAAATGATATGTCAATATGGGAGTAATTTTGTCATTTAAATGGACTTTGTAATGAAATTATTTTACCATTAATTGCATCATTAGTCAAATTTTCTGAATCACTGGTGTGATAATCCAGTGTCATTAGTACTAATCTGAACTCTCTTCCTCCATGTTTTTATCTTACAGTGGCTGCTAACTTGCAGAAGATCATAGATGATCCCAAAGCTTTAAAAACATTGACATTTAATTTGGTAAGTGAGAAACTATAGAAAAAGGGTAATATTTTGCCATGTTGATGATATCAACAATTAAGAATATAGTTTAATAACCCCCTCTGTAATTTTGATGTTGTTTTGGGATCGTTGTTTGCTTTCATCATTACTTTTCTGAAATATATTGGAACATTGTCTGATCATGAGTAGACATTTCCTATATCATGAATATCCTCATTCTTCCAACACGTTTATATTTCTATATCTTCTGTACCTTGGATGCCCTGGCATTTCCTTGCTGATTAAGTCTATATACTATGAAAAACAAAAACAAAAAATACCAAGTTAACTTTTACTCTTTGAAAGCTTTCTCAGGTTTTAAAGAAGAAAGTGCATATTAGTCCAAGTTCATTTTTAACATCTATCCTTCCATATTCAGTGTTTATTATACACACAGTAATTTTGCTTTTGCTACCCTTCTGTGTCTCAAACATATCAAAACCTAAGGAAGTGTTCTTGTGTGAGATATTTCAGACTTGAATACATCTAGACTTAAGTTTAAATAATTCCTCAGTTACCTCAAAATAACACTATATAATGTACAACCAGAAGAAAGAGAAGTTATACTCCATCTATGTACAATATGTCAAAATATGTTTTACTATCATGTATAACTAATTAGAACAAATAAAAAATACCCTAAAATCAGTATTCTACAAAGAGACCAGTGATTTTTTTGATAATATATTTAGACAAGGTAGATCCAGAGCAGCAAACAACCAGCTAGCATATCCAGCATGTTGTAAGGTACTTTACAAATTCTGTGGAGAGAAAAATGACCAAGAATCCATGAAGAAGTCTTCTTGGTCTTCTTGTGTATGAATCAATGTTCCTGGTACTTTCTGAACTTGATTTTCTTATCTGAAATAGGAAAACCTAGTAAATGAAATCTAATGTTAATATTTTCAATATATCTCTAACTTTAGTGTTTGTAAGTTCTTTTCTGAATAGAAATAGAAATCAAGGTTTTATAGGTAATCATTTCTTATGAAACTTGCATAGGCTTCATTGATTCTCTTCATCCTTTTTTGACACTTGATCCATATTTATTTATAATACAGTTTTATTGATGCATAATTGACATATAAAATGCACATTTTTATGCATGTCCATCACTCTGAAAGTGTCCTCATGCCCTTTTTTTGTGGCAAACACTCAACATGAAATACATCCTCATAACAAAGTTCTTTAGTATGAATAGTAGTATGCCATGCAACAGATCTTTAGAAGTTACTCATCTAGCACACACTTTGTATACACTGAAGACAATTCATTATTCCCCTTTATCAGGCCTTGGCCACCATCTTCCTCATTTCTGCATTTATAAGTTCAACAATTTTAGGTACTTCATGTAAATTCAATTTGCACTTCTGTAAGTGGCTTATTTCGCCTTGTATAGTATTCTGCAAGTTTATCCATGTGGTTGCAAGTGATTAAATTTCCATTTTCATAGACTGAATGATATTACTGAATGCATGTAAAAGGTGTGTGTGTGTGTGTGTGTGTGTGTGTTATGCTTTTTGAATCCATTCATCAGTTTTTATGTATAATGCCTCAGTCAACATGGGAGTGCAGATATCTCTCCATACCCTGATTTTGATTATTTGGGATGTTCTACATAACCCATAAGGGAGATTACTAGTTCTTATGGTAGTTTCAGTTTTCATTTTTTGAGAAAAATCCATACTGTTTTCCATAGTGTATCTGCCATTTTTCATTCTTACCAACACTTACCAAAAAGTATTTCTGTTTGTCCTCTTCCTTCCAACATTTGTTAACTTCTTTTTTCATTTGCAGTGCAGTGAAACCCTAATGGGCATGAGGTAAACTCTTACTGGGGTTTTGATATGCATTTTACTTTTGATAATAAGTGAATTTCAACAGACTGAAAACAATGACCAAACATGAACATAATAGCAGAAAATACTAGCAGAAAAGTCATAATAATATGGATTTCATTTTGATATAATAAAATACTAATAAATACTAAATATCAAACTTTATCATGGTAGATAAAAACAAGTTAGAAGTACAAATAAAAAAATCCCCAAATCCAGTGTGGGTTTTACACTTACATTACTGCTCAAAAATATAAAGAAGTTAATATTCTATTAGTGATTTCTAATTGGAATATGTTTGCATTTTTTTTTAGTATTACATGCCATTTCAGAAGAATTTGCAACCATTTTTGCATACTGATAACCTAAGTTGAAATTATGACAAAAAACTAAAAATGTTCTAAAATCTGTACTATAATTTCCAGGGCTCATATTTCAGTCACTCTATGGTGACACATGGGCACTGGCAATGGAATACTCAACCTAATGATTAGCAGTACCTTTGAAAAGTGTTTTATATGAAATGCTTATGCACTTTTTAAAGTATTTTTAAATTGTAGATGGATACACAATACCTTTATTTTATTTATCTACTATTTTTAGTGTGATGCTGAGGATAGAAGGCACTGCCTCCCCTGTGCCAGATGAATACATTACCACTGAGCCACAACTCCATCCTCTACTTATGCACCTTTGTTACAGTTATACCCTTTGGAGAATAGTCAAAAAAATTGAATTAAAAAATTTATTTTAAATTTACCTAGTACTCCTGGATAAGTCTGGTAAAAAGAAAAACCTTTTTTCATAAAATTGTCATTAAAGTTATTTAGCAAGGTAAATAACAGCAAAATCATTCCAAAGCATAGATTTTTTGCTTGCATTAATTTATGTACAAAATATAGCAGTCTAAACAAAAATATCAAAAAGTTAACTTGATAAAAAATTTGCTAGTGTTTCAGCCTGAACTTATACTAAAACTTCCTGTACTGATACAATCAAACTGTTAACTCACTTTTTAGAGAAACCTGGAATTTTGATTTTCTGTTACTTGAAAAATAAGGTCATAGAAAACTTAGTAATCTTTCTGAAAATATTTAAGATAAATCATGGTGGATTAAGTGTTTACTAGTCTGTTTGGTTGGTTTTGATTTTTCATAACAAATGCATTTTCATCCCTTATTAATTACAAGGAGAGAAGAAAACACAAAATACAAAAATGAAAAAGCATACAAAAACAATTGTGCACTCATTTCAAATATCAATGATTCACATATTATAAGGAAACATTTTAATTTTTATTGAAATATAACTTTTGAATCCTTAAAGGAGGCTTACATCATTCATTTTCAACAAATAACTACTTAGATGCTGTATTACATGGTTACAATTAACCCAGTAAAGTTTTAGGCAACTCCAAGAAGCCTCTGCTCTGGGTATCAGTTTAAGGCAAGAAATGGCAAATACTCCCATCCTGCAGATTCCAAGATAAACAAATGTTCTTTCCTCAGAGAAGCCATGGCTATCTTAATTCCTGCTTTTTCCTCTGAATTATTAGCTCTGTCTGTTCAGAGACCATAGTACTATTTTATGTGAAGTAATCAGCATAGTAACTTGCACTTAGTACCTAATGAGTATACAAACAGAGAGATGAAAAATTGTGGTATATATGTGTATAAAAATTGTAATGCAAATAAATATAATATATAATAAAAATATATACTATATTATATATATAATATATATGAAAAAAGAACATGTTGGACAATTATTTTTTATAATATGCTAAGAGTTGCAACTGAGAATACCAAGATTAAAGGGACAAGATTTATTTTTATTTTATGAAGGGAAACAATATATAAGTAAATAAATTTCAAGAGTGAGGAGAAAAGAACCTTACATTTTTGAAGAATGTTAAATAATTACCACAATTTTTGTGCTAAAATTGGCAAAGTTGGTGGAGAAATATGACCAGTCACTTAAACAATAAGGAAAAACAAATCATAAGGCCAATTGTGAAGATTATGTTTAAAATTAATTATATTATCTTTAGAACTCTTATTTGAAATAAGAAAATGTTGACTATAAAAGCTCTACTTATAGTAGTGGGGCACAAATCATTCTGTAGTTCCTGATGACTGGAATATGAATCTATTGTGTATGTGAGTTTTCTTTTTCATTTATACAGATAATGGTCTCTAAATCACATGATAGATAAGAAGAACCTAAAACATAAATATGCTAGAATACTTTGAAATATTAATACATTTAAGTGGATTTGAAGTTTCATTCTCTTGAGATAAGGAATGATCAAAAGCCTTTTCTTACATTTTTCATTGTTCAATTGAAAATAGAAAAAAAAACTTTCAAAATTATTTAAATGATATCTGAACATTATCATTTTTAGGAAAAGGGAAAGGTAAACAAAAACCACATCAGGATTTATGATATGTAGGATTTCATTATGTTAGTAAATGACTCACTTTGTGATTCCACTCACTTTGTGACAACAAACTTGGACTTTCTCCTTCCCATCAATTCAATCTGTCTAGTTAGTAGATAAAAGACACAGCAAGTCTTTAGAAGAAATAAGTCAGTTAATGTATCAGTATAATATGTTTGCCCTTAATATTATTTATTTGAATACTTTGACAGAAGGAGCTAAATTTCTACTGCTCTATTTAAACATGTTTATCTTTCAGTGATTGTTAAGGTATTTAACAGATAATGATTGTTTCCTGGATGCTTTTAGCCTATTTAATTTCAAAAATCAACTGATGGGAAATTATTTCTGAACCTAAGTAATAAAACCACAAATACCAATGTAATTTTTATTTTCCCTTGGTATCCTATTCCCATCCCTTTCTTTTCAAGCATGAGGGTCTAGATAAAGTCTAACAATTCTCCAGGTACAAAGAAAAAGGCCTTGGGGCTGATTTTTGATAAAAATATCTAAATAGTATGACTTCATTAATGTAACTACCACGTTCTCCAGTCCTAAATTGGTAAATATTTTATTAAAAATAATTTGTTTGGGAACTACTAGAAATCAGTATATTGTTTATCCATGATGCACTCTAAAATGCTAATTACCCAGTATTTAGATGCCTACTGTGGGCAGTATTAAGTAAATATTACACATAATTTTGATACAGATATTAGAAGCTAGATCTTCAAATTTAAATTTAAAAAGGTTTTGTCAGTATTTTAATATATTAATATATTTTCACTTTTGTGTGGTACTGTGTTTAACTAAATATCTTGATTATACTTATAATGGCTAATATTTATTGCCAATTTAATTTCAATATTGTGTCACTTGGATAATTGAGTGTGTTAGCAAATATATCTCCAGCAGTAGCGGAGATATATTTCTCAGATAATACTAAAATTAACATTGTTACTGATATATTTTTGGGGAAGAAGAGAAGCACCCTAAATGATTATTTTATAAAATGATGAAGCCTATAAGTTTCTTAAAATGTGGATTTCATATTGAATTTATATTAATATTTTCTCAAAATCAATGTAACTGTACCATTTAGTAAGTATAATGTGTACCACTGAATAAATAGTAAACCATCTTACTTGGTTTTAACCTTAAAGACATTAAAAGCAAGTTATTTGCATAAGACTACACTTTTTCAATCTCTGATAGGCACATATTACTAATCAATTTGAATAAGTATTAAAATCACATGAATATTAATATCATAGTTAATGAAAAATAATTAGAATTTCCAAACAGGTAAGTAGATAGCGAATAGTCACACTGCTAAATACATAATGTCAACCTCATTTTAGTCCAAATTTCTATGAGGGTAAATAAAATAGTTATGTGAGGGGAGGCATAATTTGGAAAGCAGTTATATAGGTCAATGCTTAAATTTTTTTCCAGAAAATATTCTAGCTAAGGATTTTATGTTTAGATGCAAGTCATTTTTGCATTACTTTTTTATTAATATCTTGATGGCTCAGAAGAAAATATATTTGCTAAAAACCTTTGAATGATTATGAAATCTTTTTGGAAAACCAGGTAAATTACAGCTGATATAACTTCTAGTAGTTAAAAGTGATTTGGAAGTTACATTTAGAATATTTTGATTCTTGGCAAATATTACAGTGCCTGGATAGATTTTCAACTCTCATACATGTTTTTAAAGATTAAAGTGCAATTTGTTAGTTTTGGAATAATAGGATTTATGGAAAGCTAAATTCAAAAGCTTTAAAAAAGAATTCTATTGATGTTTTATTATAGTTATCTTTTTTAATGCATAAAATAAGTTTCACCTGACCCACATTTCAATATGAATTATAGTGAATCTATTATGAAATATAAACTCTATCTTTGATATTTAGTGTAGTATCATTATACATCACTTCTACTGGGAAATATGCTTTTTATTAATGGTGGTCAATATTTTCATCTCTATTCATTCTTTTAAACACTTTCATTTATACTTAAACATATAAACTTAAAATTAAATTATAATTCCACAGAGAATATATTAAATTGTTTCCTATTAATAGGTGAATTATTTTTCCTTCATTGGATGATAAAATAAGACTACATGTGTTTTCATTTGTACAAGAGAGTTAATGTATTTTCTCAAAGAAAATCCTACAATATAAAATAGTGTTGGAAAGTTAGCTTCATTATAGACCATATTGTACAAGTGAAAATGCAATAAAAATTTAAAGGCAACATTTGGAGAGGTTGACTTGTAGATTTATATAGGAGGGTATCTGTCCATGCCCAGAATCATCTCTTGTTTTACTTTTTCTCAAGAAGGAATTAGTGACAATTTCAGTGTTCGTGATGAAGTGTCTATTAGATGTCTAAATATCCTCCTGCCAATCTATCCAGAGCCCATGTCCTGGTCTTCTTTATTGTTTGGAGGTAGGGCTCTCTCAGTCAAATGTTGGACTTGTAGGCTGTTTTATTGGTTTATTGGCCCAGGTTGGAAAATAGATTATATTGAATAATTTGTGAGCCTGATCCACCAGCTTCCCTTTTGTCACATCAGCCATATGATTATTAGTTGGTAGTCTTGCCTGAGCCCTGTTTATGTCAGAGTGTCTATGAGAGTGAATACATATAACAAAAACAATTGGTAACACTTTCTCTGTGATGATGGGTATCCACAGACTGATCTATGTGTAGCATTAATAGCCTGATGTATTACAAATCATCTTAATTTTATCATGCAAAGTTTTCAGTTAATGTGGTCATATGTATGCACTTGTTGAAAGCATCACAAAGGAAATAACCATTGTTCACCATCAAAACTCTATCAAATTAATCCCTTTCCTAACATTTTTATTTACTATCAGTGTGTTGAAATGTCTGCAATCACCTGTGGCAATTCTCATGGGCAATTTTCTATAATCACCTATTTTTATGTGACCACTAAGCTGTGGATCTTCTTCAAAACTCAACTGGGTTTACCTTTTTATTCTGTATCATCACACCCTGATAAGAATCATCCATGTCCATCTAATTTCCTCAGTTTTCCTTGTTTGGACTTTGTGGTGTCATGTGTCTTTCTCCACCAGTCCTTGTGTCCAGGTATGTGACAAAGACATTTCAAAAATACCTCTCAGCTTTTCCCTTGGCACCTTGCTGCAGTTATATTTCCTTAATTTCTTGCCAAACTGTAACCACTCCATCCTCCAGCCAGCTGATCATTACGAGCATTTACTCTATTTCTAAGGAAATGTTTACAAAAGAAATTAAATAATTCTCTGCAAATATCTGCCATAACTTGGGATTCTTTCTTACTAAGTCTTTGATTAACTGGCACAACTATGAGTTAATAATCTGTGTAATATACGGAGATGAGCTTTGGAGCATAACTTCATTATTTCATAATAAATTAAGATGATTAATAATACTTAAACTAAGATCAATTATAATATTTTAAGTACATAATCAATTAAATACTTTTAATACATAAGTTAAGATGATTTCTAATACTTTTTTAACTTTATTTAATTGTTGTGTCACATTGGGAAAATTGTTAAAATTCTCTGTATTTCATATCATTTATTTTCTTTTCTTCAAACCTATAAACTTTAACCTATGTTAGGACTGAACTCCAATCTGACTTTTTTAAGGGCATGCAATTTAGAAGGAGATGCACAGACAGAAAATTGTCAGTCAATTTTCCAGTTTATAGTATGGTTACATTAATTTACTTTCTGCCATACTTACCACTAATAAATCTTGGAGGCCATAAGCAGCTCAGTGAGATCCTGTCTTCAATAAAATATAAAAAAAGGCCTGGAGACATGACTCAGTGTTTAAGTGCCCCTAGGTTCAATCTGGGTATGAATAAAAACCTTAGTTTCTTTTTTTGTGTGTGTGCTATTTTATTATTTTCTATTTCTTTTTTCTTTTTAAATTTCTTACATACATGACAATAGTGGAATTCATTACAATAATAAATATCTATTCACAGCACAATTTTTCGTAACTCTGTATATAAAGTATGTTCATGCCAAATTAAGCCATTATACATGAGCTCTCTTCTTATTATTATTTTTTGCATTACAATTTTAATACACTTTTATATCACAATTTATCATATCTCTGTTTGTATATAAGGTATGTTGACACCAAATTCACATCGTCATCATTATACAAAATACATTAATTCCTTTTTAAAACTGAAGATACACCTCCAAAATTTGAGAAATTTATGCAAAATTTTGTAGTCAGTAAAATTAGAACTAATTATACCCTGGCTTCTTTTCCAATTTCAAAAACATTACTTTTATATGACTTATAATTTTTTATTCCTTCATTGGAAAGTATATTTTAAGCATATGAAGCATGTAACATGTATTAATTCAATAACCATATATTAAATACTTATCATGAAAGTTTAACATTGTTGAAATACAATGAAGTCAAAATTCATTGTATAACTTACTGTATATTCTAGTAGGGAAATAAGGGCTATGAATAATGTAAGTCAGAGTAAGTACCTATGTACTTATGCAGCACTTTATAGAGCTATTTATACAAGGAATTTGGAGACTCCTTCTTGAAAAAATTGATATTTGAGGCAAGATGTAATATAAATTAGAAACTGAGTCATACTAAAAATTGAGGGACAAATTTTTAAATATTAACCAATGCAAAAGCACAGATGAAGGAGTATGCATTAATTGTTCAAAGCTCACTAGTCACATGTAAAGAAAGGGAGAAGAATCCAAATTAGCTGAGTACTTTGGTTTATGTGTGGTCTGGTGGATGTGTTCACCAAGGGTCTATTGTGATTAAATTTTTGGCACCAGGTTGGCACTGTTGGGATTTGATGCTACCTTTGGGAGGAAGGACCCCGTTACAGGTACTATTGTGGCTATGTTATTGAAAGGGATTATAGGTTCCCAGTGCATAGCACATGAGTGTGCCATTCTCTTTCTCTCTCTCTCTCTCTGTTCCTGTATAGCAAGGGAAATGTACAATTTTCCCCACATATGAAGTCCTGTCAAAATATGCCTGGCAAAATGCGCCACTATCCACCATCCTCACCAGTGCAAATCAATAAGACTTCCTGATCTTGGACTTTAATCCTCCAAAACTGTGAGTTAAATAAATTTCCTCTCCTTTTTTTCTACCTCAGATATTTTATTGTAGTAACAAATGCTGACTGACATGTTTAGGATAGAGGAGAATGTCAAGAATAGATAGGGTAAAACTTCAACTGTCATAGTAAGAAGTTTTTATTCCACAGATCTTTATAAACTGGAAAAGTATTTGAGAACATTGTACAAGGGATTAATATTACATGACTTGCATTTTAAATGAATTGGTCTGGTTGCCAAATGAAGTATACATGTTATGAAGACAAAAGAGGAAACAGGATTTGTTGGTAACTAATGTAATAATCCATGAAGAGTTAAAGGTAATATGAACTTAGATCAAACCACAGGGTTTTATAAAACTTTGTGTCAATTTTCGAGAGAAGGTTACATGGGCTTGATGTAATACCAGGGGGATAACATAAAGATAACCCTGGAATGTAATGTGTGTGTGTGTGTGTGTGTTTTTTTTTTTTTTTTTAGATTACAACACTAAAGGCAGAGCCAACAATCAGAGGTAAGATTTTAGGATTTCTGACAAATTATTATAAGTAATTTGAATATATGTGCCCTGCAACTAGTTGTATATCCACATCTGAATTTTGGAAAACATTTAGGATAGAAATTTTAAAATGGAATTAGAAGACTATACAGGGTGTTGACAGCCATCCTATTAGATTAGATCACCTAGGGAGTTAACTATAGACAGAAGAGGAAGATCCCAAAGATTAAATTCTGGAGAATTCCAAAATTCAGAGTTTGATAAAAGTATGGGATATCTGATGAAGACTCTTACCTTGATCCAACATTATTCAGGCTCCTTGGGGCTTTCTTTTTGAATTTGCCTTGACCTTGCTCTCCATGTCCAATGTTTGGCCTCTCTTGGTCAGTTTTCACAAAAATCATCCCAAGCCATTTCAACAAGTATCCCCCCACCCTTGACATCTGAATTCCTTTTATATCTGAACAAGTTACTAAATCTCCTTGTATATTATATTTGATGTGTAAGCCTTTGATCTGTTTTCCCAAAGAACTTTGTTGAGTTAATGTAGCAAGAATATTCCAACTCTTGATCTTTCCTCTTAGGGATTTTCCATCAAGTGACACCCCCAGTCTGCTCCTTAATTAATGATTCCCAGATATGTTTGCTGAATTAGGGATTTGGCATGATCTACTCTTATTGTCTTGAACAAATCTTAATCCTTTTCAAAAGTTCCACATTATTTTTATCTTTAATGATTCTGCAACTCAATATGAAGCAATCCATAAAGTTGAAAAAAATATAGAAAGTAAGTTTTGGGAGAATTAAATCTCGTAATCTAAACAAAGTAAACATTGCAGAAAATAAGGAGTGATTGATTTGTGTCATTATGCTACTGTTGGGGCAAGATCATCATTAAGGACTAGTGACCATCTAAAGTCATTTGTAACTTTGAACAGACCCTGAACTTATTGGGTATAAAATATTGTTTTGAATTTGATTCAGAGAAAATTATCCAGATGAATTGGAGACTGAAGAAAGAGAATTTCTTCACTAACGGAGATTTATCTAAAGTTGGAGCAGATACCCTTGTATGTGGAGAAGCACATGAAATTAAAGGAATATTTTGTTTGATTTATGACAAAATAAAGTACTGAAGAAAATTTTTATACTTGTGATTCAGTAGCATAAGTGAAATAATGGTAAGGCATGTGCAACACTATTGTAAGAGAGCTTAAGAAGGGAAGAGACTATAGGATCCCACGCACAGGGGCAGAGACATATTGAAATTACAAAAGAGCAGGAAAAATTCTTGGGTTTTAATTGTAAATTTGTCAGGCAAATTTATACGTGTATACCAGAGAGGAGCTTGGGAATTTTTTGTTGGGAGAATGTGTATATTGTTGAATAAAGTAAAGGCTAGGGGGAAAAAGAAGCAGGGAGCTGAAGACTGAAAAAACACTATGCCTATCAGTTTCAATATGGAAATACTATGGCTTCATATCTATCAAATGATATGATCATTACCTATCTTAAAATGAAAGGCTTTTAAACTATCACTTATAAAATTGAAAAAGTTAAAGAAGATAAAATGAAAAAAATGTAAAATCCTATAGTAGGAGCACAAACAAATTAAAAAGACGATAGCTTCCCA